CAATGCGGATCGCAAAGGACATTTTAACGGATGGTCTCTGGGAAGAGAGGAGTATATCTTCGGCAAGTTTTTCCGAGCATATTGTTACCCTCACTGCAGAGGGTCTCCCTATCGAGACATTCATGCCTTTGAAAAGGCGACATATTTTAGCTGGGGTGTTGCATCTACCGAGGATTGAGCAGTACTTATCCCATAGTTCATTTTCAAAGCGGTTCTACCTACTAGTAAGCTACCTTCCGGCACAGGGACATCAAACAAAATAAGTGAAATTATTCTATCGTCCTTGTCCCTGAGTTGTAGCCGTTTGTGAGTTGAGCTATTACCAGTCCCCTTTTTTACGTTCACCCACTGTAATTATATTTCTACAGTGGCCGTCCCAATTGGTTCCAATAGAGGCACTCCTGTACGCTTTTCCCAGTTCCGGGTCCCAACCAATTCAAAAAGGGCAAAATTCTAGGAGAAAGCGTCTGTATTAGTTAAAAAATGGAAATACAAAGCATTACCTGGAAATAGTGCTTCTTCCAGGGTTCAGTTACTCCGCAGAGTATCAGACACAGTAACAAATAAGTGACGCTAAGTCCAGCGGCCACTGCATCAGTCCAAAAATGTGGCGGTAGCCATATTATATCAAATTTAAACAACATATGTACAGTTCAGAAGCAAACACAAAAACTTCAATATAAGTACAAAATATCGAAAGAATAACAATATACAATGATAAAATCTCAAATTGGAATCAAATAAAATACCAAAAATGTCAACAGAAAAAGTCCGTCATGTCATAGCAAAAATATGTAAACATGGAGGGATTTTCCAAAAAACAAACCATTCAAAAAGGATTCTACACCGGCCCGCAAAATCCCTCCATGCAAAAGGAGCAAGCGTTAATGACACTTTATTTAGGGTTGCCCGTTATCCCCTAATCCACACCGGAATAACGTGTAGGACTTACAGCAGTACGCCTACCCGCCATCCAGCATGGATATGACCTATCGTGTTAACTAGGTACCTATACTTTCCCATCAGGCCCTTGATTCCCCTATCTATCGTGGCATGACCTAACGGTAGTATAAACCTTACCCAATTAACCCACACGAACATGAACAACACGTCGTTAAACTGGTCATATCCTATCCAAGGACTACATTCTCTTTCATGGGGACGAGTCGCCAATCCACCACCACTTGCTCCGATCAGCAGATACGATGAAGTCCGTGATGCTAACTTATCAACAGAAATTCTTGACCCATAGATAATATGCAAGGGTGGGATCTCCAATTTTGACATTTCATCGTCTCCAGAAGACTTTAAGTAGCATGACGTGGGATCAATATTTATCTTTCCATCTCCCGATACAGAGGAGGTTTGATCAGTGTTCGTCATCGTCGGTAACTCATTTGTCACATCAGTGACTGTACCACCATCACTTATCCTAGAATCTACTCTAGGTCCAGTTATATAATTTACCCTAACTGAAGGGTTCCGAAAATAAGCTTTATTCCGTTCAGACAATCCTGCCTGGGCCTTATTCATATTTGCTGAACTCATTAACCTCTGATTCCTCGAATCCAAATTACCGTTCCAGGCTTTTCGAGCAGCTAAGAGGCTTTTACCATCACACACTTCGGATCCGTCTTGATGCCTACACTTTTCACCTTTTTCTTTCTTTTCCATACTTAGAAAAGCCATCTTATCAGTTACACCAACCGGCTTCTTACTAGGATACGCATCAAGAGGTTTTACATCGTTACGGTCACATACTCGTCCTTCATCAGCGTATGCTTTCGTGATATAATTGACAACTCTTTTATCTTCCGAGCGTGCTTTAGGTAGAAACGAAAAATCCGAATGTCTCGCACGCAGACCACTAGTAGCTTCCGTATTATTTCCTGTTTTAACCTGATAAGCTAATCTTCCAAACCTACTACTAGCTATCTTAGCACGAGACATAATGAATTCCGTCAATTCATTGAAATTAGGCTCTCTCTCCTCTTCGTCCCACTTGATTACTAGCTCTGCCCACTGGGCTTGCATTTGACGAGGTAAGAGCCTGACTATTCGTTCTAAAGTAACCATGGAATTAAGTTCCGTTGTGCAATTTAGCTGTTCTAAGGTTAAAGCAGCATTCTGCATTTTAATAGCCAAATTCGTCAATAATTCAGGATCATTAAAATCTACATTCCCAGTTCTAAATAAATCCTCTAAGGTTTCTCGGGCTATTACATGCGACAGTCCAAAGAGCTGTTTTAAAATGGCCTTAGCTCTCTTATATCCTGCTTGTGGATCCATAATAATACAGCCTTCAATCGCATTTTTTGCTTTTCCCTTACAATAATGAATTAAATATAATAAACGAACTTGGTCATCTTTTATTCGGGGTTCTATAAACGTTTCGAATTGACGCATGAACCTAAAATAGTCGCGAGACCTTCCATCAAAATATGAAAGTTCGACCTTAGGTAGTTCTAAACCCTCTATCGATGTCTTTGGTATCTGATCGGTCTCTGGTACTTTAGAACTCTCACTTAATCCTGGTTCCTTAATGCCTGCCAAAGGTGACTTACAATAATAAATATCAGACATAACATGTGGGTTACCCATAAAAAATTCATCATTAACGACTTGCCTAGAGCTCTGTGATCCGTCGAGCTCTTCCACCCTCCTCATGTTTAATTTCTTTCTGCTTGACATTATAAATGAAGTTCAATAAGAAAGGTAACAAATACAAAATATAGTAATTCCACAGTTCAGTTCCGGAATATGATAAATAATCCAAAATTCTTCCTTCAAGAAAGTCTAGCGTGATAAACGATTAAAATTCCAAATGTTTCTTTATAATTCTTAATAATCCAACTGTAATCGTAATAGATAATTCCAGGATATAATCGTTGATAGAAATATTTCCAGACTGTAATTATATTTCTACAGTGGCCGTCCCAATTGGTTCCAATAGAGGCACTCCTGTACGCTTTTCCCAGTTCCGGGTCCCAACCAATTCAAAAAGGGCAAAATTCTAGGAGAAAGCGTCTGTATTAGTTAAAAAATGGAAATACAAAGCATTACCTGGAAATAGTGCTTCTTCCAGGGTTCAGTTACTCCGCAGAGTATCAGACACAGTAACAAATAAGTGACGCTAAGTCCAGCGGCCACTGCATCAGTCCAAAAATGTGGCGGTAGCCATATTATATCAAATTTAAACAACATATGTACAGTTCAGAAGCAAACACAAAAACTTCAATATAAGTACAAAATATCGAAAGAATAACAATATACAATGATAAAATCTCAAATTGGAATCAAATAAAATACCAAAAATGTCAACAGAAAAAGTCCGTCATGTCATAGCAAAAATATGTAAACATGGAGGGATTTTCCAAAAAACAAACCATTCAAAAAGGATTCTACACCCACTGTTCCCTAATGCTAGCAGATACCGGGGGATTAACAAAAAACGGCAATTTTTCGGTGTTTTGGTTAGGGTTTTATCTGCCTTGGTAGCTTGTTCCACTGGTTTGGTGCCATGCTATTTAGGTTTTCCTTCGGGACGTTGAGCTGACTTTGGGTGGGGCCTGTGGCTTCGCCTATGCCTCAGATACTCTGCACCGTGGGCACATATACCAGAACCACAGGCAGGGGTGGCGCAACATGAACCCATGGTACTCTTTGGGTACTGTAGTGTCACAGTGATAATTGACCCATTTACTACAGAAATTGCATTCAAAAGCAGAGACTGATATTAACTGGCATTACGCAGGCGATACATTCATCCTAATGCCATTTCTGTGCGATAGACTGTATCAACTGAACCTTGTGACGCCTTTTTCTCCCAATGATATTTAGCCTACGGGCCTTTTTAGGAATAGGATTCTGGGTGGTCTGTTTGAGACCTAGTGCAGGTGTTTGGGTTGAGTGGTCCGATCTATGAATGCTTTCGAGTGGCGATTTGAGTTTTTTCACAACTCTGTCGCTCGACCCACTACTGACCACGGGTTTCATATTTCTGCATGTTTTCCTAGCTGTTGCAGTGTAAGATATGGTAGCAACCTTACTTAACCTTACTGAACATGATACCCGGGAGATTTAGGGATGAAAAACGAAATAATTGAGAGGGAAAAATACGCGAAATAGAGGTTTCGGAAGGAAAAATTTATTGATGTATATATATATATATAACTACAAAGGAATAGAACCTGAAAGTACTCCAAAATAGCAAATTTACCGTTGACCATTCTAGCAAGCAACTTCGTGTGGATCCAGTGACTTTTCCATAAGTCCTGTGATTGCGAGTAAATGATTATGTGTATGCTGCCGAAGTAACTAGTAAGAGAGCAGTTGATCGAGACAGCTAGACCTACCATACGGTGGTTCTTAATTGGAATGATTCCGTTTATCCAAATTCGTACTCGGATTGTCATCCAGTGAATGGAGACAACTTTTATGTCTTCGGGAGGGATTAAATGTCCCAATTTGGTGTCCAAAAATGGATATTTTCCTGTATGTGGAGGGAGGTCAACCAAGCCAAGTAAATTTCTAAGTAGGCACTTGTTGTCATTCTTGCTATCTCCTCAGATCGTCGACTCAATCTATCTCGCCAATTACCTCTGCTTCTTATCTTAATTTGGCTTATACTTCTGTCCTTTAGCACAATCTTCACTACCGATTGATAAGCTGTTAACTATTATTTTCTTAGTCCTGAAATCTTACTATTTTTAGCATTGAGATTTTTTCCTTATCATTTTACATATTCCAACTAACTGATCTCTGGTGTAGTAATGTGATGGCTGCTGGTATCCAGAAACCCTACTGCCCTGAAACAAACGTTTTCATTCAAATCCCGAGACATACAAACTCACAACGAACTGCCAACTGACTAGAATTAGACAACCGAGTGGCTAGACCCATATCCATTAGACATTAGCAAACAAGTGGAACCGTACAGAAAGAACAAGAATCGAGCTCAAAGAACTGAGTTGGTTTACACTAGCTCATGAAAAAGATATTGGATATTGGATGCTATGCGGAGGGCTGTTTGTTTACAAGGTCTTTATTTGCTGTTGGTCTGTATATAAAGCCAATTTAGGAAGCATGAGTTTGATTTGAATTATTGGTAAATTATTCTTGGCTATTTGTTACTCGTAGTATCTAGATTTCTTGCACATCAAGTGATTTATGTGATGATTTAATATACTATTGATAGTAAACGGTGTACATGCATATCATCATCATGATCAATAAATGCATGTTCATCATTTTCGCATTTATTTAGATGACGCGTAAGCAGTCTGCTTTTAATGTGACCACTTGTCATTATAAGTATTGATTTTTTCCTACTGGTAAGATTTTGCTGCGAAATTCGTCAATACCACTAATAAACTTTAAAAAACACACTAAGCGAAAGATGCCCCTCTAAAAGGTTATTTAAATAGGATAACGAATTTTCAAGCAAAATTTATACCTATTTATCTATCCAAACATAATCAACTGTATATAAGTTCACTCAAATACATATAAGCCAAAAGGATCACTAAATTTGAGCGTCGACTAGGGCACTGCTTTAATGTGCAAAGCGAGGTCAACGCTTTTCCCTGGGGGCCACTACTTAAGTCTTTGACTTATGGATCTAATCCACAAAACTGTGAAGCCACGTTAGGAGATGCATCCCCATGGTAGTCGGTGACTAACAATGGTTCCGTACGCCGTTTCCTTTCCAGAATCATGGAGGCTGTCTGCCTTGTTGGTTCGGAATCATGGTTATCCAACTCTAGGTGGGCTATGTGTGTTGACCAATTCGAATTAAGTGCAGATTATTGGCTTTTCATCTCGTTTCCGTAAGCAACACACCTCGATAAGGTAGCGAGTAGGACTTCCCCGACGGTGGTCTTACACGTGTACTTATATCAAACGCTTTGTGTAGGGGTAATTTTTTCAGAGTGATGAAACCACGGCCTACTATAAGTGAACAGTGTTGAACAACCAAATAAACAGAAGTACATCTGAGTAACAGTGGGTTGAACATGACCCATATAATAACTATTCTGCGAGATAAGCTTGATTGCTGAAACCCTCTGTAGCAACAGTTACTGTAGCCTTTTTCAATGTTTACCACCTTGCAAGCATGTCTCTAGCTTGCCTCAACGTCACTCCATATCGTTAGCGTCATCGTTTTCTGATATGCCATCCCTTATTATATTATTATCAATAGTTAAGTTTGCATTATCGTTTGTTGTTGAAGATTCAATGTTACTCTACCTATAAAATTTTGTTTTCAGACACTATTTCACAACCGAGTGACTTGATTAACTTTCACAAAGCGTTAAATAACTAACTAAGTAATGCCCACTTACAAACAGGAAATGCCTCCTCCTGGCGGTTTCGCTCCTATTGATGTCTCCAGAAAAATTCCAAAACGTTATTTACATGGTATGTCGTTTCTGATGTGTTCAATCATTTGATTTTTTCCCTCAACTGACCGATTTACCTGCTCAAATGTAATATGAACTTTTACGATAGGAAGATAGAGTTGTGATTGTGCTGAAGAAAGCACATTAAATTCCACTTACCTATACCTCTACTTTTTCTGTCTGTTTCTTTACAACAAAATCGGCATTTTATATGTTCATTCTGAATGTTAACGCTTGCTAACCATCTGTAGTTTTAAAAGTCTCAGATCAACTAGCCCATTGACTTTTGTAATACTTTTTTAAGTGGGTGTCTTAGGGCAATAGATATTACTTGTAGGCTAATCTGAAAAAGGAAAAAAACTAGATAAATGTAGACTCAACTTCTGTTTAAACTCTTTTGGGCTTCTCAGGCACCACTAAGCATACTTATTTTCAAACAAAAATGATTGGTTCACTGAAACACGAAGAAATGTGCAGTATGAAATCAAATGACAATATTTTAGGGGAAATTGAGAGGAAAATGGCATGAAAAATGAATGACAGGTATTAAAAAACTGCAAATTTATTTCATTTAGAAGCTACATCTTACTGTTCACCCAAATTACAATAAAAAGCATCCATCAGAACTGTCACTGGATTTAAATCTAAAATATCTTTGAGAATATTCGAAGTTACTAAGTTTTATGGTATTTTAGACATCGTATCCAAAGTTTTAAAAAACTGATAAGTGTCAGCCTATTACAAAATCATTCGTTGTATGATACCATGATATAAACTGGTTAACTATGATTTCTTCCACTTAATCGTTAATTCAAGGCTTCTAGACTCTTCTACAAGTCGTACATGGTAGACCTTATCAGTCCTGTTTAAAGCCTACCAACGTATTATGTTGATCATCATTTTATGGTCGTGGACTATCACTCCGTAATTTTTATCTACGAACATATTTGTCTCAAAAACTGTTTCATTTTTGAAGGATCTGAAAAATCGCAACTACGTTAGGTGTAGTCTAAGCAACTTGTGAACGTGATCAAATCACTTAAGGGACAACTAGTTGAAACTAGTCGCGCACGTCCTTTTTAAAGGTAATTTCTAGTTCTTTAGCTCCTTAATTTTTGTATAGTACGGTTGGTAGTGAGAGTTCCTAAGATAGGGTAATGTGGTGTTCTTATGACTGAACTTTTCTCAATTACTCTTTCCGTTGTGGGTAGAGATCGTCGTTGCAAACACTGGTTTTCTGAGAGAAACAACTTACTGCCGTCACATTCAAGTACGGTTTAAAAAACCATTTCTTAGCCAACCACATGCACCATAATTTGGTTGATTTGTGATTGGCCCATCGTGTCATAATATAATCATCTTGGTGCATAATTTCACATGTAGGTTCTTTCCTGGTGCCTTATATATTTATAAATATAATTTCTTTCTACTACAAAGGAATAAATATTTATATCATACATCATTTCGGTTTCTCCAAAATTGATTTTTCTGATAGCAAACCACTAAACCAACCTTTTTTAAATGCATTTCTATAATTATCAAGGTCTTATAACACTCGGTGCATTGTATGCCTCAACATATTTTGGTTTTAAATTGCTCAAATATCAGAAAGCAGAACGCAATAGAATTGAAAGAGAAGATCAAGAATGTCGAATTGCTCTTACCCCTTTCATTATAGCTGAACAAGAACGACTATACTTGAAACAATTACGAAAAAATCGTGAATACGAAGAGAATTTAATGGGAGATGTTGCAGGTTGGAAAGTTGGTCACTGGTTCGACTATCCAGTTTATCATAATCCCCGAGGTTTATGGTGTGATCCGAGTTCATGTGAATTCTACGCTCATGTTGCTAATCGCGATAAAGATTTGAGACGTAAAGAACTGTACAAATACATTTAAGTTGTGCTGGTAGACAGAGGTTGGACGTAATTTTTCTGAAGGACTGATGAACTGAGTAGTAGTTAAATATTAACTAGACCAAATACAAATTTACTATTAAGATCACTTTTTTATGTTGTTTTATGAGTTTAACTCCGGTCATAAATGCTGAATTCTTCATTCTAACCCCTAGATTCTGGTACACAGGTCATTCCTTAATGTTATCTATTTTCTGATTGTTCAAATGGGCCAAAAGCCTTCCAGGTTCGTTCAAAGCGTCAGTCAACTCACTTTTAGTTCAGCTTTATCAGATCAAATTTTATCCACCTATATATTCATTACTTTATCGATTCTTTAAATAGACATACATAAATTTTTTCTACAATTTTCTTCAAGCATAAAACTAAAGTGGGGATTTAGTTTTATGTGTCCATTCTATAAAAGGTTTATTTGCATATATCACAGGTCATCGAAAGTTCAGCACTGATATGTAGCAATTTACGAATTATAGGATTTATTACGCACAATATAAGAAACAATCTGTGCGAAACTCTTTGGCTTAACTGTTTAAAGCGCTCAACTTACAATTATCGGGTTCTAGGCTTCAACCCTATTCTTCCTGATTTGGTTTGGACAGTTAGGAACTGTAGACAGCTATTCAGACATATCAAGGAAACTGGTAATAGGAATCCGACGTGTTTACGTGCAGGCGTAACAAATGTTAGCCTCCATAATACTTCATCGCCTAGCTGGATTACGTGAAGAGCATACTACGGAAAGCCAGGCTGGTTTCAGACCTGGACGTGGATGCATAGACCCGATATTCACACTTCGACAGGTCCTGGAACATAGACACAGGTTCAGACGTCCCGAAATAGTTATATTCCTCGATCTCATTGTGGCAATCGACTGTTGATCGTGAGGTTCTATGGCAGTGTTTGTTACTGAAAGGAGTTCCAGAGAGGTACATCAACCGTGCACAGGCTCTTTACTCGAACACTAATCGAGTGAGGGCTTATGCTGAACTGTGATAGGAATCGACAACTATAAGCGGTGTTCGTCAGGGCTTTCCACTTTTTCCATTCTTCTTTTTATTGACACGCCTTTAGAGATAACATTATCTTCATCTAACTTTCCAGGATTCGGTTTTTGACTTAGAATATTCGATGGCATAGTTCCACGTCGTGAAGTCACTGACAAAATATGGAGTCTTCTGACTACCCTAGGCAGTCATGCAAGTATGCTAAGGATGAGGTTTTCCCTCTCGAAATGCAAAATGTTACTTCAGGGTTGGGTTACGTCGGCACCTGAACTAATGACAGGGAGACAGATACAACGCAGAACTTCGAACATAAGTACATCAGTTCAGGTTGCCATACCACGTCAGCACAGAGACGTAGCTGTCAGTTCAAATCCAAGAGTGATAGTGATCGTAGAATTGTTAGCAGCAATGGAGAAGATTAGGGAGCAAAGACATGATTCGAAAAGTATAATTCAGTGGGATAAATTTAGGAGAAAGATAGAGATTGCGAGGAATTCAGAAGGTCAGAATTAAAAAGCATACAAAGAGTGGATGCACCTGTGCCATTGCAACCGACTTTGAGCCATGTCATTCAGGGTCTCTAACCATCGATTATTATCATCTCGCGGACCCCAACCAGGTAGTCGACAACTACCGACATAGCTCAGTCCACTTGTCAGCGACTTCATGCATTTCTGCCATGTTTTGGTCTGGCTGCCCCTAACTTTCTTCCAACCTACTCCTACACCACAAAACATAGCTCGTCGAGGCAGTCGGTGGTTAGGCATACGTAACACATGTCCCAACTACCTCAACTAATGAAGTTTCAATGCTGCATCTATTGATTCGCCATCCCTACCTAGAACTTGTTTCCTAACGATAGCATTGCTTACTCGGTCGTCCGATGATACACGAGCAATGCTTCGGATACACCTATGATCGTAGACTAGTAACCTATGTATGTCCTCTACTCTTAACGGCCATGTTTCGCATCCGTACAGTAGGATGGAGCGAAATGCTGCACAGTACACTCGTCCTCTGGTTAGCAAATGAATATCTCGCCTGCGCCATAGGTGACGCAGGTTGGCGAAAGTCAATCGAGCCTTCTGTATCCGAGCTGTGATTTCGTCAGTCACCACGCCATCAGCACTGATGAGACTCCCAAGATAAGTGAAGCGGTCTACACGCACAACTACTTCACTCCCTATCTCCAGTTCAGGTGTTGATGCAACCCAATCTTGAAGCAGCATTTTGCATCTCGAGGGTGAGAACCGCATCCCGAACATGCTTGCATTGTTGCTTAAGGTAGTGAGAAGACTGCATTTTGTCAGCGTCTTCACCGAATAGAACTATGTCATCGGCATATTGTAAGGCGATAAGCGAGCCACCTGGTTAAAGGTCTACTCCTGAAAATTTAGACGAGGATAAGGTTATTTCTAGGAGCATGTCTATGATAAAATTAAACAAGAGTGGAGAGAGTGGACATCACTGACGGACACCACTTGAAGTAAAGAATTCCGGTGACAGTTCGCCATAGACTCTCACTCGACCAGTGGTGTTCGAGTAGAGAGCTTGTATAAGGTTGATGTACTTCTGTGGTACACCTTTCGATGACAGACACTGCCACAGAACCTCACGATCCACTGAGTCAAATGCCACCTTTAGGTCCAGGAAGACAACTATATTCGGACGCCTAAATGTGTGTCTGTGTTCCAAGACCTGTCGTAGTGCGAAGATGTGGTCTATACAGCGACGTCCAGGTCGAAAACCAGCCTGATTTTCTCTAGTCTGCTCTTCACGATCTTTCGTTAAGCGTCGAATGATTATTGAGGCCAATATTTTAGAAACCATATTAGTTAGACTTATTCCCCTGTGATTGTCACAAGAAGACTTTTGTCCTTTCTTATAGATTGGGATAATCAGTGACTGAGACCATTTTGATGGGATTATGCCCAGTTCGCAGATTCTACTTAAGATCTCGGTCAATCTCACTTCTGAAACTGGACCACGATCCTTAAAAATCCCTGGAGTCAACCAATCAGGACCTGTTTCTCTGTCTGGCTTCAGATTTCCTAACGCTTTCTCAACTTCATAAAGACTAGGGGGACTTACGTCGATTTGCCATTCAGGATGACTGGTGATCGTGGGTAACCGAAGAGTGGCTCGAGTCCAGTTGAACTGATCCCTAAAGTGTTCTGCCCATCGGTCCAGTCTCCTGGATTGAGAATGGATAATAAGACCATCCTTTTCCGAAATAATCTCACTCACATTCGGTTCCCTAATACCAGTTTCCTTGATAAGTTGGTAAAATTGTCTGTTGTTGCCTATCGCCGTTGCCTTTTCCATCGCTTTTGCTAGCGCCACCACCACTGTTCACGGTCGTTACGTAGGCTTTTTATCAGCCTGCGCCTAAGCTGACTTCTCTCTTCATTATGCTCAGAGTCAGGTGGGATGAGTTTTCGAGCCTCTGTCGGTTCAGTGGATGCTACTGAGATCCGCGGCTTCATCCTAGGCTTATGGTTTATCTTTCTAGTAGATATCGCTGCTGTTTCCACAGCCTTCTTGATATCATTCGAACCTGTCTCCGGGTGGGAATCACTTATATGGTTGCCTAACTCTCTAGTTGTTCCTGGAATATATTCTTAGCTTTATTATCATTAAGTAGAACTCTAAGAGGTTTCCTTGCGGTGTCTTTCCTGCGTCCAGTAAGCCTCAAACAAATACGCGCTCGCACTAGGACATGACCTGAATCTAAACATGTTCCCCAGAACGAGCGACAGTCCTCTATCGAACCCCTTCATCGGTGAATGATAGGGAGAGAAGCAGTTGAGCGTGTCGACCGTTTCACTTATCTTGGGAGTCTCATCAGTGATGATGGCCTGGTGACTGACGAAATCTCAGCACGGATACAGTAGGCTCGATTGACTTTTTCCAACTTTTGTCACTTATGGCGTCGGCAAGATATCCGTTTGCTGGTTAGAGACCTTGACTGAATAACATGGCTCAAAATCGTTTGCATTGGTGCAGGTGCATCCACTCTTTGTGTTCTCTCAAATCCTAATCTTCTGGATTCCTCGTGACTTTTCTCCCCTTTGGAATTCATCTCACTGGACTATACTTCTTGAATAATATTCTCGAACCCTAATATTCTTCATCTCTGTTAATACTTCTACTACCTATACTATAATGGGATTTGAATTGACAATTGCGTCTCTGTGCTAATGTGGTATGGCAACATAAACTGGTGTACTTACGTACGACGTCCTAAGTTGTAACTGACTGAGAATGTTGAACTTATTCCCCATTTGGTCATATCGCCGTTGTTCTCCACGGTAGTTTTCTCTTCTTTAAGTGGTTTTCGTAAGGCGTGGAACTTATTGCTGAGAGCTATCTTGAATTCTTTGAGTTTTCTAGTATCCTAAATACAGGCTATTTTAAACGCTTGTGATGCTGTTCTCCTAGTTATCCAGTGTTTCATGAATTTTAGTTTCATCCTGGCCACCAACGAGTGGTCATCTGAAGCTATGTCAGAGCCTTTTTATATTATCATGCCTTCCACAGTCCTTTTGAACTTTTTATTAATGCAGATGTGATCACTCTGGTTCTCCGTCGTGTAATCCATTGACATCTGTACAGCTTTACATATGCGTTTGTTTGGAAATATGTTGCCACCTATAGAAATCTTGTTGAAGGTATGTAGATTCGTGAATCTCTCACTGTTTTCGTTCCTTTCTCATAGTTCATGTCGTCTCATGATATCTTTATATCCAGTATTGTCCATTCCAACCACTGCGTTCAAGTACCCCATCAAAACAATCAGATCCTTTGCTAGGCATTTCTCTACGATTGCTACCTGTCATAAATCTGACCCTTATCGTCATCATTTTGATAAATGGTGGATGCATGGTATTGAATGACGTTCACTGTAGCCCCCTTCTTATTTGCCTTGAAGAATGCTCTGACAGTCCTGGGTCCGTGAGATCTTCATCCGATTAGTGCTTTTTGGACTTCTTTAGACAGCATCAGTTCAACTGCTTGTGTATGAGGCGTTTTCTTCTTCATGGCTGGAGTATAACATAATCTCTCCTGAAGCTAATCTTTTCTGTCCAGCTTGTGTCCAATGCGCCTCACTTATTCCGGGTATTTTTCAGTCCCTCAGCAACTTGAATGGTTCTTTTGGTTTCCCATGTTGTATGAACATTCCAGGTTCATATATTAATTGCTGCTCTGGTTATCAGTAGGGATATCAACCTCGTGACTTCCGAAGGGTTGGCTTTCATGATGATGCGTCATAACTCTTCTAAATGAGCAACAATCCCTAAGACAATTTAAATGGTTTAAAATACTTTTTCTTCATCATCACTCAAATTTCCAGTTAGCGTTATTTTGCAAGGTTGTTTTCTACGGGGTTTAGTTCTAATTTCATTCCAAGTCCCCCTCAATTGGGGCTTGTGACCGGCAGTAACCCTAGAAGGATTCAAGATGGAGTTATTTCCGCAAAACCCTTGAACGAAATTAAGTTGAACATTGTTTCAGTGCATATATATATATATATATATATATATAGAAAGAGAGAGAGAGGTAGCTTTCTGTGCATTCTTAGTCTTCTTCTAGACGGGGTTCGCATACACGACATGCTAGTAAGAATTCACGTATCAATCATTATGTAGGTCATTCAAATTTGATTTTCTTATGAAACATTTGATTCGTTCCATAGTTTGTTTGGTTAATATGAAGAAGTCTCAAATATATTTATCTTTATTTTAAGCAACAAATGAATCTAATTTTATAAACGAATACAAATTTCTCAATGTATATTATGTTAATATGAATCTACTAAAGGTATATATATATATATATATTTATGATACTAATGAGTACTTAGGTGAATATATTCACCAAACAAACCCTAAGCGCTCATTAGTATTAGTTTTTTTATTTGCCGAATTCTTATCTGATGCAGCATCATTATTACGGATTTCCTCACTGGGACAGGGATCGTTATTGTTTTGTTTATTGATTGTTTGATTAATACTCACTAAACTTGGTTTTCCTGGTAAACCGGTACCTAGACCAGTCATTGATCGTGCGTTTGTTGCTTTTTTCAATGGATAAACATTCCGATCATTTGCTTGACAATGATTGATAACCTAAAATTTATATTGTCAACAATTAAATAAATTCATAATGAAGCAATAAGCTCTACAGTTATGATATACATTTTCTACAGTATGCTGAACTTACAGTGCAAATGAAAAGAATGAAATGAGTAGCGAATTTTTATTACCAAACCGATTTATAATGTACACAATTCACAGGCATGCATACACGATTGTCTTTCCAGTTTGGATAAGTATGTGTGTAGTCAGATCGTGGTTTGGTTTATAATTCCTTGCTTACCGTTGTTTAACCTTAAGATGGAATTTGGGCATAAGTATGTAATGTGTCTATATTCGCCCAGGCTACTAATTTTACCATTTTAGAATGAGATTATCTAAAGATACCCAATATTTAATCATTAGTCTATGCTATAAGTACAGTTAATGTTGAAAAATGCGTACTTTCTAAATATTTGTGTTTTTAATTATGGAATTATGGAGATCGTTACTTTACGTTGAGATCATGAATCATTGGAAAAAGTGTGCTTAGTAGTGACTAGATTCGTAAGGAAATTCTCGGAGTTCTAGTGAGAAGCCATGACAGTGAATTTTAACCCTGACGGGTGTAGGCAATCATTATCGAAGATAATGGGTGATGTGCAGAATCCTCAGACTGATAATCGTTCGGCATTAACACCGTTAGATGTCGGCTTAGTGATCCGAAGGTTGAGCTTTCGCATGCAAGACCGAAGATCTTGGGTTCGATTCCTGCGAGTAGCAGGAGTCGTTGATGCTCACTGCCACTGATGAGTCCCAGTCCACGACAATACGGCCGTCCAGTGCTTCCAGGTTTTTAATGGTGGTCTAAAGATGACTGCTCCACGATTTCAGTGTAGAATATCTAGGTGTTCATTATCTGTATTTTTGACTACGTTAAAAACATGTATGTAAGAAGTTGGTGTAATGATGATAATGTTTATATCTTGAGTCTAATGAGTTCAATTTAGGAATTACTTCCAAACTGATTGTCAATTAGTTAGACGTAAGTAGTATTGACGAAACCTCCGAATTTAATCACATAAACTTCCTATCTACAAAGGTAGATCATCTATCTAAAATAAATTGACTTTGAAATAATATATTTAAAAAAACTTCTACACTAATTGATCAGAAATACTTATTGAAAATATTTAAATTTATGTTTTTAGAAGAAGTAAACTTCATATTCAAAAAGTCCATTTCTACTTACTCTTATTCACTAATATTACGCACTACTAATACACTGATTCCATCTTGTTAATTTCATCATTTATGGGAAGAATTTGAATCAGATATCATAGTGTCGTCTATAACTGAATAACTAGAGGCTATTTATGTAATTGATGAAGAATAGGCTTGAAAATATAATTGAGAATTAGCAGGAGTACGGAAACTCTCCTGTTTTATCGAAAATTTCTTTAGCGGTGAATACGATGTAGTTACTTCAATGGTAGATATATTCAATTCGTGTAGTTCATTGCTGTGGTTATATTTTGGTGAATAGCTGGATATTTTCTAGCTATTTCTCGTTAGTCAGTTGAAAATATGTGATTATTTCGTGACCATTGTAGTCAGTACATATTTAACGGACTAATCTATATTATGTTTTCTATGCTCTGTGTTTCAGAATAATTTATTACATTAATATTGTAAATTTTTGGCCATAATCACTGTCAGATATAGAAATATCACCCTGGAAAATATACAGTAGTTTGACTTCTCAGTGCTTTTGTTCGTAGAACTGCTTCATTATTCTCTCTAGCAAAAACTTACCCTGGTGGCATAATCTCTAAAGACATGTTCTTCCAGTTGAATGAGTTTTTCTTCATTGGCAACCTCTTCAATTTCCTTTTTACGCTCCTCTTGAGCTTGTTTTCTTTTTTCAATCTGCATTACATTTCATGTTGAATAAAAATTACAATGGATAACTAATTAGTAAGAATCACTTGACTACTTACTTATAAAATAAGTAGTATGACTTATGAATGTTTTTGTATTTCTTAATCCATGTTGCCTACACCTATCCTGTTCACTGGTTCTACAATTTCTTTGGCGTTTAAAGTTAATCAAATTAAAATTACATATAAGTCATTTCAGTCTTGGCATTCTTGCTTGAATTCGAAAATAGTTCTACATACACGTGGTATAAAATTTAAGTGATGTGCTTGATAACTTAAGGCTGGCCAATTATTTAATTTGGATATGATCACTGAAGAGTATTGGACGAAAATTTATTGAACAGAATTTACTTCGCTCGTGTTTTGGTGATTTCAGTTATCGATTGAAAAACAGTCTAATATTGATGACAGAGGATTTTAAATGGATAAAAATGACAAATTTCGTATATCATCCTAACTAAACAATAAATATTGTTTATCATATTCAATCGCTTCCTCACTAATTACAACAAGCAACGTCCTAGTATTTTATCAAGTTAAAACAACTGAGTTTCAGTGTTATTGTGAGCAACAACACTAGAGATGCAGGTTCATTCCGTGCGAAAACGAAATGAATATACGTCTTGAATTCAATGGCTAGACTCCCAATCAAAATTAATTGCGACTCATGTGAACCGTATTTGAATGAGACAATTCGATCTCTTTGTCCAATCAATTAATAGTATAGCACCAAAAATTACAATAAATCTATATTTTGTACAAATGCACGGTTTTATACCGAAAGAAATAAATGGAAATTGCACTAATAGCTAGTTCTGATTATTTCAATTGCTTATATCATCTTAATGAAAAAAGTACAGTGTTTATATCCTTACTACAAAGGAATAAAATGCTCCAATAAATGGAAATTGCACAAGTAACTAATTCTGTATGTTGGATAAGATGTTAGTGTTTGTATGTAAAATAATGTATCAAAATGACTCTTATTACTTACTAACAACAAACAGTACAATCAGTCAATGCTTAACAACAATTCAACTTACTGATTCTTGTAAATATTGTTGCGATAATTGTTTTCTTTCCTCGAGTTTTTTTGCTTTCTGTGTATTTTCGTATTCAGCTAATTTTAACTGAGCCGCTATCCTTTCACGTATTTCATTTAATTCCGCTTGTTTCTCATCTTCAAATAGTTTTCTACGCCTTTCTAGTTCATTCAATCTATGTTCATTGATTTCTTGAATAATTTTCAATTGTTTATCCTGTTTCTCTTTTAGATCACGTTGATATTTTTCTTCGATTTCAGCTATTGCTTTGTTCAAACGCATCTCTTCATTATCTTTGGCATTTTTCATTTGTTCTGTTAAGTAATCTTGTATTTTTTGTAATTGAGCTTCTTTTTGTCTGATTTGATTTTTTTCGATGTGCAAACAAACATTGTTTTTTATTAAGATTATTTAAGCAGAGAAAAATGAGAAATGTAATTTGAAAATATCAGACTAAATTTTTTTATTCAGAAATTGGATTATTTGACTGGTGGACAGATTTTTTTCGGTGTCTTCAATCTAGGCATGTTTATTAGCATAAGCGCAGTAATCCAGTGACAGCGAAAACCTTCAGCCATGAATGTTTTTCCCTTCATATTCTGTAAATCAACAAAATCGACTTCTGTAACGATTTTTTTATTCGAACGTAAGGATTACGACTCCGTCTCAATAAAAACACATCATTTTCAAATAGTAATGATTAAAACTCAATGATCTATATTTCTAACTCAAAAGTAGAGTAAGGATTCCACACTGAGTACCAACAAATGTTCATGGCTTATTGATTATCAATGGTTCTTTCAGTTCAAGTTAATTCCTGGCCAATTAATTATATTTTAAATACTTAATACTAACCGTTTAATAATAGCTACCTAAAAATATTAAAAAAAGATTTAGGTTAATGATAAATTCAAAGCAATTGTTAAAGTTGTGTGATTTCACATACTGAAAGATTTCACGTTCTTTCATGATGCGCATTTTTATCATTTTAATCTTAGCTGCTGCAAATAGTCGACATTGTTCTTCGAATCCCTTTGATTTTCGTTTAATTATATAATTTGTAAAAACAAACAAAAAAATTAGAAATAAGAAATGAATTATTACGAAATATTGGATATTTACTACTTTTAAGTATACTTAGAAATTAGAACTAATCTACAAACAATGTCTTATAAATTAGTTTCTAAATGTCGTAAAGAATACCATCTCCGAAGTTAGGCGAATCGCTTAGTGATAAGCAACGTGGCAAAACTGGTAAAATTACGTGCATTAGTGCAAGTTGTCATAACATATCAGCACAACACGATAAAAATTTTCAAGATACCACCAGTAAAGTAGACACAGTAACATTCTCAAAGGTAGTTATATTTAGTAAAAAGCGATGAAGACAGACAATACGAACGAAAAAGAAAGAATATTTTCATTGTATAAACAGTATAAGATAATTTACAAACTTCAGATCAAAAGAATGACCAAGAGTGAATGCATCTAACCGATTCTGAACTGTATCATGTAGTGCAAAACGAGAGAGAAGACAAATGATCCAGTGACACGATAGGCTATTAGAATCTGAGCGTCCCAATGCCCCACTAAGTAGAGGAAGAAGTCTTGAAAAGGCGTAGAAAGTGAATCCTAAAAGCACCCAGAAAATCGAAGCTGACAAGCACTCAAATCGAGTTTATTTATACATGACAGAAATGTCTTTGGGAGAGCCAAAAAATAACGTACTAAAATAATACATCAACCAATAACAGCCAAGGATTTTCCGGGTGGGAACTGTAATCTCAAGGTCAACTGATCATTCATGAGCTAAAACATAAAGTTGAAAATTAGGACCTTTATCAAGGGAGCTCTGCGGATCTAACGTCCCCAACATATAGCGTCTTGAATAACTGATTAGGATAGTCATGACACTAACCATGTCAGTCTGCACTTACCTACACAGCTTAAACCAATGGTTAGTGACTGTGGACTGATTCCATGTGTAGTCGGTTTCATCCATTTCAGCTTTTAACTCATCTCTAGAAGATATAAGGAATTTGATTCTATTTAGTTTTAAAAATAAATTCTATGCTCAGGTAAAGTATATACGCTGTTGGATAAAGGCGATTAACATCTTATCATCGATTTGCCGACTAAATTTATCTGTATCCTAAATTTGATTTCAAGTAAAACTCATTATCCATCATTTTTGTACTACTTTAAGACACTAGTTGTGAACTACTTACCACCTTATAATTTTGATTTCCCAATATGGATTATACCTCAATAATGACTTTGTCAGTAATATATTTAAAATCCAATGAAAAAACAAAACCGATGATCAGTAAAATTTTCTCACTTCATCACGTAATTTTTCTATCTCTTTCATTTGTTTATGACCGTTGATTTGATCTTGAAATTCTTTTTCAAGTTTTCTCATTTGATCACGGTAGGTTTGTTCAAGTTTTTCACGTTCTAATAAATCAGCTGCTGCAATTTTTTTCAACTCTTCACCTTCAGCTAATACTTGTTCTCTCTGACGTTCTTTCTGTTCAACATGTTCTTTCATTCTTGCGAATAAATTTCCATCAACAAAAAGTTTTAATATATGATAGAGATTGTAAAATTTTCACAGAATAAACTACCGGATCTTAGTTCATTAGCGTTCCAGGATGCAAGGTCATGCACATGCACACTGCCGAGAAGCCTCATACTAGTTAGAAAGAGACAGTTATCCGATGCTCCTGAGTTTAGGTTTGTGATACAGCTTAGATCAGTTTACGATATGAACCGTTAAAAAGGCTTATGATTACTTCACTAGTTTATTAAAAGATGAAGCATTCATGTTAAGGTTTTTGTTCAGTGTCAAAAAGTCGGTATAACATTAAATAAAAAAGAGCACCAGTTTGTTGTTTTATTTCAACAGAAGTCGATTAAAAATATCCGACTCTAAAAGTTCCCCACAACTATCTTGACCATTGATTTCTATCTCCGATAGTAAGGCCTAGAAAACTGGAGCTGAAAAATCGGAAACTATCACCAGAAAGAATGTATGTAACGAGCCTCGAGCAGCTATTAGTCCGGCTCTAACGAAGCACACGCAGGTCCCTACGGCTAATCTTGATCCAGTACTCTTCACAGGTTCCTTAGGAAGAGTCATTCTTCCAAGCCGTGAGCAACTGAAAAGCGACAACCACCTACTGATTTTAAAAAGTACTCCAAATCATCCTGTAACAGCCTTATTTACCTCAATAGAGCCAAGGTTAGCTAAAGAAACTCTTTCTCTGCTCCTCTTCAACGACACAAATCTGCACAAATATACAAAGCTTCAGAATCAAAGTCTGCTTGAACTCATCGATCTATGCTTAACAACGTATTTTCAATTCAACAAGAGTCTACGAACAAACAAAAGGAACACCAATGGGATCACCAATATCAGGACTTATCGCGGAAGCGGTAATGCAGAGACTAGAAGCGTCGGTTTTGCCAGTGATCAAGCCAGAAAGGTAGGTTCGCTATGTAGACGACACATTCGACATCATCAAAAAGAACGAGCTGTAGAACATCTACAATCAGATCAACAACATCTTCGATGGCATTAAATTCACAATGGAAAAGGAATCAAACAACGGTCTATCATTCCTGGGTGTATTGATCACCAGAACTAACGCAGGAAGACTGGAAACTCAAGTATTTCGGAAACCAACCCACACAGACGTAATTCTCAACTACGGTAGCAACAACCCAAGAACCCACAAAATCAACTGCATACAAACTTTGTTCAAGAGAGCGAAGACACTGCAGCACATACGAAGCACTAAAAAACGAGGAAAAACACCTTGTGACTATCTTCCAAAAGAACGGCTATCCACGCAACTTCATCAAAAAACATCAACTGAAATCATCATCAGGAGCGAAATCAAATACAGGAACCAGTAAACAGACCATCCTACCATACATAAAAGACATATCGGAGCATACAGAACGACTACTGAAACCATTCGGAATAGGTGTGGCACACAATCCAACAGAATTCACTTCAATCAATCCTATGTAGACCAAAGAACAAAGTGACAAAGGAAGAAAAACCAAATACCATCTACAAAATAAATCGCTCAGACTGTGAAAAACACTACATAGGACTAAGTGGACGGCCTCTTCATCAACTCCGTTTACGTGAACACCAATTAGCAGTCAAACGCCACGACAATTCTTCTCTTATATCAATACACACGGACAATTACGGACATACATTCGATTGGAACAATGTGGAAATACTGGATAGGGGGAGGACCAAGAACACTAGAGAATTTTTAAAAGCTTTGCACTCAGGTCAATCAGCAATCAACAAACACATAGACATTGACCCAATTTATCAACCAATCAGGAAAGTCATAGGTGACATAGGATCAAGAAACAGATCAAAAGGGAGATGCAATCAAAACAAAGGTGCAAACAACGACAGGTTTAAGGTCAACAGCAACCAATCAAGATTGAGGTTAACAGAACAAGCTACAGGTCAAACGTGGAGAAATTCAAATGCTTCAGTTCTATCTGAAGTTTGTGCTGATGATGCTGATGAAAGCTCCACAACCAAAACAACCAGTTCAGTGAACGGAACACCACCACAATAACTTTTGAGTATATGGTGTGTAACTCAAATCTGATTTTGCGTGGTATTTTTAAGTATTAACGTAAACAGATAATATTCAAGTTGTGAGTAAATTGTATTTGCATATTATTAATAGTTATATCAAGTACTTTCAATTCTAGTATATTCGTTAAATGTTTATTTTGTCCTAACTGATTTACATTTTGGTTTTCTTCGTTTTCTATTCGTTATTGTCAACCGCTATAATTTCAAAACAGGCACTAGCAGTTATGTAGTTTATTGTATGTTATCGTAAATACTCTTTCTGTCGGTTTCAGTAATTGTCTTGAATACCAATAACACCGTAAACACTACAGATGGGCTTGTGGATTTATTTCATAATGGTTGTTATATTTTAGAAAATGTTTACATTTTTGGTTGACAGTTTTTACAAGTCACTTAATTATGTAATTGAAAGCTTCGATAGAAATTAATTGAATAATAATAATAATAATTATTATTATTATGATAATAGCAATAATAGTAATGGTAATAATAATCAAATACATTTACTGAGCTTGTAATTCTTGAACATTTAACAAATTTCTCTCACGTCTTCTCATAGCTTCATCTTGTTCTTTCTTTATAGCTAAATAAAAAGTTGAAACAATTATTAATAGAGACGGGTATCCAAGTAAATAATAAGAAAATAGATTTCAGTAAATAAAAGATGTTGTTCGGTAAAGAAGGGATGCCTTTATCATGGAGTGAATCGACAAAAACATGAAATTCGGAAAGTTACACTCAGAGATTTCATTGGATATATTTTTCACTACTGCGGGTTTGTGAAAATTGTTAAGTGTTATTGAGTTTATAAATGGACTCAAGTTATGCAGCCATTAGAAGTAAGATTATACTAGACAGCTGTCTTGTTCACTTATGAAACTCCTTGGTAGTATTCATTCGTAACCCCGATATGGGTCGAACCAAAGAATTTCAAGTACTGCGAAAATAACCGAACCTTAGGACCACTGTGTCGACATCCCATGGGGTACATGCCCAACTTCAACCAATTCGCGATATTGTGTAATCACTTCTCATTGTCTTCAGTGGATGACTACTTCACATCCGACACAGCTGAACTTCAACAGTCACTGTTTTTAATTATATATTTATCATTTTATTACTATATCGTTAGCCCGTTAATCAGTCTTTTACCAACGAAATTTACCACTTACAGTCAGTTATTGTCGTCATGTAAGTTCTCTATATTATCATATGACATATTAATGTCTGAATAATATAGAACAGTAAATGTGTTAAAGTGATTTTTCTAGCATTGTGATTAGCAGGTTAGGTAACAGGTGATAGCATTGCTTGTATTTATCGGCTTTTTAGACCAAATAATAACATTGGTAACTGTTGCATCGAAGTGGAGTCCCGTCGGATGCCAAGCGATGTTTATATAAACGGTCACTTATGATCATAGTAGAGTCTGGAACACGTGTGAATTGGCTCCAGTTGACATAATAAAATGACAAGATAAAATGAGTAGCAAAGAAACCGAAAAATATATTGGTAATAATGTTGAGAAGGCCTGGACTGAGAGAATATGGTTCGGAAAGACAGAATAAACAGGTATTCACATGATGGATTAGTATATTTAAAAGTCGAGAGGAATATAGAAACTGAATGCATCTATGCCATTGTGAACGATTTCGTATCACATTACCCGAAGTTTCTAAACACTGACGGCGCTGATCTTGTGGAGCCGAACTAGACAGTTTGCGTCTACTAACGTGTCTCAAACTAGAAGTGAATGACTGATGCCACATTTCGATTTTGCTGCTACTGGCTTCCTTCCAGTCTACAAATACACTCCACTAGTACTCCGAAGAAATTACTCAAAACATAATAAGTATTGAATGTGTCGTAGATTATATTTGAAGTTAAGAGAGTTTTTATACGTGAATATCACTATAAGATAACGAAAATACTTTAAACGTATTGTCATCTATACAGAGAACAGAGAGGAATGTAAGACAGTCACTTGATAGATTTCTATAACTATCTTCATAATTAGTGAAAGAGAACACAACTGCCCTGTAAAAATACAAAACACTACATTAAAGGGTTAAGTAACAAATAAGAGAATAGCAAGGTTCAGAGTAGATTTTCAGGTAATCCTTATTTTTCAGTTTTTGGATTTAGAATGAGCTATTTCCTGCGACTTACTAAAAGACAAGTTAGCTAAATAAACGACAGTCTGTCACATTCCACTGTCCATATCGCTTGGTGAGATAACTGGAACAGGTACCTTTTTTTCTATCCTATCGATGGGACACTAAATGCTCGATATTTCGACTGGCAACATCGACTGGATATGATTCAATGGATCACTAGGAACGTGACTCAAGCACTCAATATCCAATCAACTATTAACAACCAGTTATTGTCTAAAATAATGGTTTATTAACCATAAAGTAAATAATTTTTTGTTACTGCTTAGCCTGAATTCCAGTTTATTCAACATTATTTTACTGTAATAATCACAGAAATACAGAGTTTTCTTCCAGTGTTCCAACTACTTCATAAATAAACACAGCGAACTCGATTTGTCTCTTCTTAAACAAATTTTTCAATAGCTACATTGTTTACATCATTAATAGAAATAAAACAAAATAATCTATAGACCTATCTTAGTGCTTATTGCTCTCATTGTTCGATGTTCTCTGTTTCCGTTTTAGTTCCTTTATTTGTAGATGATTATAACCACTGTGCTATACCACTGGAAACGTCACTAAACACAGCACATACAGCAATATAATGTCCAGTTAAAAAGAATAAGTAGTTCTTAACTGACGCCTTGTATTATTTTATATATGTGAACAACGTACCGCTTAAAAAATTTTCAAACTAGGACACTTCAAACAATGTAACATCACATATCTATCCCCCACAATAAGCATTTGTTTCTATATCACAAGCTGATCATGAATGTAAACCGAAATGAATTCTGTAATTATCTATCTGTTTAAATTTACCTGCTTCAATATTCTTCCTCATCTTTTCTACTTGTTCATTTTCTTTTTTCGCTTCTAATTTGTTTTTCAAATGTTTAAATTCCAATTGCATATCACGTTCTTTCAATGTTTCTGTTAGATTTAAACCAGCCTATAAACAGAACCCATAACATTAAATAGACGCGGAGAAAACAAAATCTTAAAAATATTTTGGGGCAGAGTTTTGGAGGTTTGTGTTTTTACACATTTGAAATCATCAGTCAGTCATTGTTAGACCACCATTAGAAACTTGGAAGCATTGGACGGCCGTTTCGTCCTGGTATGGGACTTATCAGCAGTGCGCATCCACGACTCCTGCTCCTCGCAGGATTCCAAAATAAAATAAATTGAATCAGTGATACCAATCGGTACTGAAAATAATTGTAAATGATTTTTAATACTTACCGTTATCATCATCATCATCGTTATTGGCTTAGCCGAAGTATGAAGACGAGGCAATGAGGTAACAAAATGTAACCTCAAGGTCATTTTTCCTGGTTTACGTAAACATATTGGCTGTCAATGCACACTGATTTTCATGGAAGTTTAGCGATAACGTACTAACATGGAGTTACTCGATTATCGAGTATAAAAGAAATGTAGCTAGTTTGTGTGGCAATGGAAGTAAAATGTGATTGGTCACTGAGTGTGGGACGAAAAAGAATTTAGCTCACTGACTATTAAATATGTGACCTCCGTTCATCTTACTGATTTCCACTCCGGACAGATGAGAGTGACTGCTTGTAATTGTACGGAATAAAGTATTGTTTACCACTAACTCCAGCTCTCTATTTCGATCGTGAATCGAGTATCAGATATGACGAGATCTAATCTGTGTGTAGTGTACTATCTAAGTATCTAATCCAGTGCTAGTGCAAGCTTGGTCATTCAAACCAGTCTCATTATCGTACTACCGTATTGTTGTAGTGTACTAGGAGAGAAAATATTCCGATATCCCCATCATACTAGTTACAATCATGGCTTTATTGTATAATTAAGATTACTTCGTACAAGCAATTAGGAGTAATTTTCCTGACTAGCATAAAGGTATTCGTGGAAGAATGTTTCAGCTTAATGTATGACTATTTATGGTTTTGTTCCTTTTGGATTTAAAATCACAAGGATCTTAAAATCGACTTCGAAAAGTCTATTGTGTTAAAATACTGCAGAAAAATGGAATTTCAGTTTCTTTTTGTACTGTATTTGATTGCATGCTAATTATTTTTGTAATCGGCATACTGATTAGTTGAGAATAGGTCAGACTTTCTCATAGTCATTCTAAGAGATGATAAAGCTCTTTGCTGGTTTTTTAGTCTTGAAATCATTATAATTATGATTTTATGATTATTATTATTATTATTGGCATTGTTATAAAGTTATATTTCGAATTTACATGTAATAATCGAACACGGTCCGTTTCATAATATAACTGTTGCTTTGCTTTTTCAATAGCTTTTCTTCTTTGCTCTGCTTGAAATAGCTCCTCTTCTCGATCGACAGCTTGCCTAGCTTTCTCTTGTTCAGCTAAACGATTAGCACGTTCTTCCAGTTTCTTTTGTCGCGCACCCTGATTTTTTTCAACAAGAAAGTATTTTGAGTGATGTTTAATTTTGAAAAACTAATTTTATTAACAAAAGAAAGGAACAGTGTGACACTTTTTTCGTAACTTATTTTAATAACACGTCAAAAGTTGGATTGTTATTGGTGGATTTGATAAATTAAGATGAAATATCGATAGGAAGTTCTATAAAACTATTCTCAGTACTATTTATAGTTTGAGATGGTTGGTGGCTAGCAGCGGAGTCCAGGACGTGAGTTTAACCTTATTTTGGACTCGTCGACTAGATATATCTGCATCCCAGAGTTGATACTCACTTCAGTACTATGACATAGTGCTATCCACCTCAAATTCCATCACATTATCTAGTAAGATAGTGTATGAGACCAGATATCCACTGGTTTCCTCAGTGATGGGAATCTTAAATGGCATGTTGGTCAAATGAATCTGTAACTCTTCATATTCAGTAGTTAACTGCACAACACGTTGAAATTTGAGGTGAAATATACTAAGTTTGAGTTCTGGAGTAAACACCTACTCTGGGATGCAGATTCATTCATCTGGTGAGTCCAAACAGGATGAAACGCATGTCTCAGATTCCACTGCTAGCCACCGTCTATCTCTTCTTAAAAATATTTATGACTTAATTGTAATAATGAGTCAGTCTGCACAGAATACAAATAGGCTGAAAGACACTAACCATGGAAAGATATTAATAAACAGCATGTAAGAATTATTCTTACTAACAGGTTGTTAAGTCTTAGAGATTAATTTCGGCTGTTACATATTATTCTACAGCATGTTCAGTTCAGTTAGATTAAAGGAAATGAGAAGACTATAAAAAATTGACTGCTGAATAATGAATGAATACATTCATAGTTGATGTTATAAGTAGACAGATTGACCTTGACAAGGCAATACGGTTGGTGATCTTTGCAAGGCGGATAATCAAATTAGGCTATATATCTTTCTAATGCTTACATGTAAATTATCCTGTTAAATTTGGACACCATATTATTTGTCCAAAGTCACCGACTTTTTGTCTAGAATGTTTCCAGCACTAATGCTCATAAAGCATAGGATTTAGTCGAATCACAAAACATTTCCCAATCACCAGATCCATCCCAGTGAGTAACTTAGTCCAGAGTTTATCATTTCATTATTTGATTTTTTGAGTGATAAATAGAAACAAATTTATACCGATTAAAACCAATAAATAATCCTACCAAAAGTGTACTTGTCCAATTTTTTGTCATTTCTTTGGATTGTGCTTTAATTTTTTCAATCTGTAACTTTTTCTCTGCTATTTTAGCAGCTTCACTTAAATTATCATCCAATTGATTTTGTAAACGTTCCCATTCTGACTGAGTGATCAATTTCACTCGTCTTATATCCATAGATAAATTTTTATCAGGATTTTCAAATGAAAATTCTTTCTTTTCTAAATTATAAACAAGAATAAAAAAATGTAATGTTTAAACTTTTCTTGATAAAGAAAGTTTGTTTAAATCTTGCTTCACGTAGGCTCTTCAGAAACGCCGAAAGCGGACATAAGAAAGTGAAGCCAGTTTCAAGCCAATGAGGATGTTATTGATATGAATAAATAATTTATTTTATAAGGGCTGGGAATTTTGGCTGGGATTCACGGCTCTGAAGCCCATATTTTATTTAATGTCGTACACATTCAAGTTACTTGTTACTTGTTCTGTAATATCCCTATTTCTGTCAATTTCAAACATTTTAGTATTTCATCAGCACTGACGAGTGCTAAATAGCATAAAACATATCTACAGCTTTCTAACTCTTACCACCTAATCCGTCTATTAGTCAGTCAATCATACATCTAATATTGATAAATGTAGTTACTCCACTTGCTCCTAGCAAGTATTATCAAGTTAAAATTGTGTAATTTTTTGTAGACAGAATTCATCATAGAACAGTTTCAGTCGTTTTGCCATTTAAAGATTAGCGAGCATTGGATGGCTAGCTGTTTGATCTTAATAAGGGACTAATTAGAAGTTCGCAACCACGATCCAATCCATTATTGCAGCTCAAGACCTTCAGGTATTTGGGCTGATGGATAACTATCAAATGTCTGTTGAGTGGTACATTTCCAACTTCAGTCAGTTTATTAATTGTTTTAGTTTAAGAATAACAATAACTACTTCAAAATTGCAGGACTGATCAAGTTTCATAATGATCATGTGTGAATAATGCCAAGTATATTATTATTTAAAAGTTTTGACTTATGGAGCACGCTATTTGCAGTAAACGAATAACAATACATTCAATGTTTCAGCTTTATCCACCTACACAAAGGGAAAGTTAAATTTAATGAAACATAAACTCATCAGTATCTAAGTTGTGGATACAGAAACTATAAAGCGAATACTTGAGTGAAGTAAGTATAAGGACAAATAAATTCCTGGTCACTAAAAGTATAAAAAATATTTTCGTTTAGAAGATTGCAGCGACGCATGAAGTCATTCATTTGAGGTTTGAGTTTCATAATTTTTGGGGAAACGTCAATTTGATCCATATTCTCAATGTTCAGTCTTTTTCAGAATAATTACTACTGCCATTATATGATTTATTTGTTATTCATGATGTTTATCTTATCTCATGAAGCTAACGCGATAGAGAAATAGAGTCCTAAGTACAAGAACGCCGGACTCGACTGTGAATGTAACCGATTTATTGATGAATTATTTCTTGATAACAAATATGGTGTAGTAGACTTTACAATTCAGTCAGTCAGTTAGTTACAACTTAACACTTCGTACTTATGTACATCCATTCAATTTGCTGTGCCACATTAGCTCATGGATACAATTGTCGATTCAAATCCCATAGTAGTACAGGTAGTAGAAGTATTAGCAGTAATCGAAGAGATTAGGGTTCGAAGATAATATTCAAGAAGAAGTGAATTAAACTCAAAGACAAAAAGATAAAGGTGATGAAGAGTCCAGATGATTGGGATTTGAAATAAAACAAAGAATGGATGCACCTGTGCCATCGCAAACGGTTTTCAGCCGTATCATTCAAGGTCTCTAACAATTGATGATTATCATCTCGCTGACTCCGACCAGGTAGCCTACGTCTACCAATATGACGCAATCCACTTGTCAGTGACTTCATTGATTCCTGCCATTTTTCGGTTTCGCCGCTCATAGCTTTCTCCAAACCTACTCCTACACCACAAACAGCTTCACGAGGCAGTCAGTGATTAGGCATTTCTCACAAATGTCCCAACCACCTCAACTGATGAAATTTCAGAACTTCATCTATTGTTCTGCCATCCTTACCTAGCACCCGTTTCCTAACACCACTATTGCTTACTCGATAAACGAGCAATGCTTCGGAAACATTTACAATCAAAAAACAGTAACCTACGAATTTATTCTACTCTAACTGGCTATGCTTCACAGACATAAAATAGGACGGAAAGAACTGCAACGCAGTACACTCATCCTTTGGTTAGCGAACGGATATCTTGCCTACGCCATAGATGACGCACGTTGGCAAAAGTCAATCGAGCCTTCTGTATCCGCGCTCAGATTTTGTCAGTCGCCAGGCCATCATCACTGATGAGACTCCCAAGATCAGTGAAGCGGTCAACACGCTCAAATGCTTCACTCCCCATCACTAGTTCGGATGTCGATGCAACCCAGTCTTGAAGCAACATTTTGCATTTCGAGAGGGAACCTCATCCTGAACATACTTGCATGACTGCTTAGGGTATTCAGAAGACTCTGCATTTTGTCCGTGACTTCACGACGTGGAACCTTGTCATTGGCATATTCTAAGTCAACAAATGAATCTCCTGGTAAGTCCAGCTCCTCAAAAGTCAGATGATGCAAGTGTCGTCAATAAAAGTTAAATAAGAACATCCTTGACGGACACCGCTTGAAGTAATGAATTCCTATGACAGTTCGCCATAAGCACTCCTTTGACCGGTAGTGTTCGAGTAGAGAGCTTGTATGAGGTTAATACTTTTCTATGGTACGCCTTTCAATGACAGACACTGCCACAGAACCTGTCGATCGAAAGTCAAATGCCAGGTGTGGGACGTCTGGACGTGGGTCTATATCCCAGGACCTGTTGTAGTATGAGTACCTGGTCTATGCATCCACATGCAGGTCGAAAACCAGCCTGGTTTTCTCGAATCTGCTCATCACGAGCTCTAGTTAGGGATCGGAGTAATAATGAGGCCAATATTTTAGATACTATATTAGTTAAACTGATTCCTCTATGATTGTAACAAGAGGACTTTTGTCCTTGCTTATAGACTGGGACAATTAGTGATTGAGACCAGTCAGATGGGATTTTGCCCAGTTCCCAGATTGTACAGGATAATGAAAGTACGGAATAACAGTGGGCTCAAGTTAATGTGAAACAACGAAATAAAGTTAGTGATGCCAATCTTTAGACATATAATCCTTAAATCTTGTTCATCAGATTTTCTAGTCTGGTAGAAATCCGGTTAATCTTATACGACTATAAATTCTCCATCTGGTTTCAGACTATGAAATTCAATCGACATTTTGGGGAGATTAGTCTGATACATCTTGAATTTTGTTACTATTTCAGTTAATATTCTTCATCAGTAGACTAAATAGTTTTGAAGTTCTTGAGTGAGTCGAAAAAACACTGGAGTGTAGTTGAACAAGTGTCCTACGTAGAAATGTGAATCAAAATACATAATTTACCTGACCTAGTGATTTCTTAGAAACAACTGACTATACATCAGTTTGTGTATTATGGAACATTCCACTTTTAGGAATATTTTACAATAATTTTCAACCTTCAGTCTTAGGGTTTATATGAATCTGGATTCATTCACTTCATAGTCGAAAAAATAATTTTCCGGACCAAGCTGTTATAAAGTTACTTTTGACTTCCCAAGTAACAGGACTCCGACTGTAAGCCAAGAGAACTCTCATAACCTGCACTAACAGCTGTCGTCACTCACGTATGTGAAAAGAAATTGAAATTGCCTTGCTTTATTAAGCCAAGGATTAATAGAATTTTAAGAAATATAAAACAACGTACTTAAGACTGTAACACAATTAAACCTTCTTACCAACTCAAACGACAATGCTAGCACATTTTCTCTCCCTAAGACTACAGAATGTTGCTCCATGAGTCTCGTGTGTCGGCATATAAATTGATGATAGACAGTGAAAGTTGAGCATGTAGACGGCTTCACCAGTTTTTGTTTGGATACAGAGGCTTAGACTGGTTTTTCCAACTTGTCTCACTGGTGGCCTAGGCGAGATAAACATTTACAAACCGAAGTACGAGCTTCCTGCCCAGGATTTCGCTTCGTTCTGCTCTATATGTGTGAAACAAGGACATCAAGAACAGATGATGTTCGTAGGTTAGTAGTACTCGATTGTAGGTGTCTCTAAAGAAATTATCGTGTATTTTGAGATTACTGAGTAGGCAGTATGTGGTTTAAGAACAGGATGCTGGGTAAAGATAAAAACTAACCACTGAAATAGTGAATATTCATCTGCTGAAGTGGTTGAGACCTATGTTTTATATGCTCAACCACCGACAACCCAAACAATTGATAGACTGGTGTGGGATTAGGTTCGAGAAAAACCAAAAAAATTGCACTAGTTCATGAAGTCATGGATAAATTACTTGAGCCATGTTAGTAGTTGTAGACTATGTGGTTTGGGTCCGTGTGATAATCGAGATCAGTGATTAGAAATATTGAATGGCACGGCGGAAAATCGTTTGTGAAGGTACAGGCGATATCAGTTGATATTATTTTGTCTGATCAGTTTGGAAGACTTATTTCTCTAAACCAAAACTAATTTTAAAATAATCCGTCAGACTCCTCTACCCCTAGCTTCTGGTTTGACTTGGCTTGATATTCTTGACTGTAAAGCTGTCACAGGAAAATGCGTTGATTAACCCTAAATATTCATGACGTACTCACGTTCCTTCTATAAACTACAATTTTTTAAAATTCATTCAAGACATTTATCTCACAAATTCATATTTTCTTGAATCGCATCTTTTATGGCTAATGTACTTTATTGCCAGGTACCAAAACTACCTCTGCTGCTCCAAAATAATTTAATCTAACAATAAATCTCTTTGAGGTAATGAGGTATGAAAACGTGAACCGATGTATTCGCTTGCCAGATTTTACTTTGAATTTAACGGAGTGACTAATTGTAACAAATTGCAGATGATGGTTTCTAAGCTAGAAGCAAGACTATTAATACGGTGATATAGATGGAAATAGCGATGTAGTTTTAGAATAGTGTGAATCATTTCATATAAATGGATCTTTCTGAAAATCGATGAAAATATTCCTCAAAGTCAAGAGATCGACAGAATACAAACAGAAATTTTCACGCTGGTTTCTAACAAATATTTAAATCATTCTATGATCGATGAGCTTTTATGACACTTTTCCAAAATATAATGGCCACAGAGTAAAATTCTTACTTTTGGTCATGTTTTTCAAGATTGGACGTATCTGTAACCATGAAAACAAGTTAAAGTGTTTCAATGTTCAATAGCCAACACATTTTTCACGAGCTAGTAATTATTGAACTGATTTCTTATCTTTTGACTCCCGTTGTTTTGTCACGGCTTCAGGTATTAAGTAAGTTTAGAGGATAATCCAGCCATAAGTTTGCACTAGTTCTGGTCATTACTCAGTTATTTATCAATCTGTATGTTCCCTGATTTTAGTGTGTGTTTATCTCAGGGCATTAGGGATTCTGGGTGTCAGCAGCTATCACATTTCCAGGCCGGAGATCAGTTAGTTCTAAGAATGATAATAATAAAGATGAAATTCTAAGGTCAACGAGATTTCAAAACTGTAAATAAGCAATAAGTTAATTAATTGGTAGTAAAGATTGTGCGAAAGGACTGACGTGTAGGCAAGGAAAAAAACAGACATCAAGCAATGGGCGATAACTTAGTGACATGGGGAAATCATGTAATAGCAACTAGTATGTCCCGAGACATACATGAGACACAGCTGGTCTAATCAGGATTTGATAATCGGTTTGCGAGTACATGTTTATCAAGTCTCTTCTCAAAGATGTCCAATGAAGGGGCTGTGAACACCTCGCCTGGGAAAGCATTCCATAATGGGATGGCTCTTAATAAAAAAGAGTGGAAGGGTACCTTAATGTCTACTCTTCGATATGGAATTTTTCAAGGTTTATCTCGAGGTTCGTGGCGATGATATTCATTTCAGATGCACATGTTTGAATGACTCGTCTTGATTTATACATGATTTGCCATTATCAGATCACCTTTGATTCTCCTACAGCTCAACAAAAATGATATCAAGTGATGTAGTCTGTCTTCTTCAATCCATTCTTTAACCTCATCACCCTTCTAGTTGCTCATCTCTGCATTTGATACAGGGGATCCATGTCTATTTTAAGGAGATGTGAGAAGACATTGTGAATATTAATGTCCGCCCCTACTCATGTTTTAATTGAAGTCGAGAAAAATTATTTAGTGAATACACTAAGGTGACCTGGCACGAAGGGATGAGTCGCGCTGGCAATGACTGCATTTCGTATAAAGTTTGAAATTGTGCCGAGGTTCCCTGTGGTTATGAGACTGTAACCGGGCTGTGAGATGTTTGAGAGCGGCCTATCATTGAGGACGTAACTCACTGAAAAACGATATTGTCGACAACAAGTTATAAAACATTAGTCAGGTACAGCTTGTCCAATAGACAGATGGTAATCTAATTGGTAATGTATTGTGGTCTCCTCGACTAGAAGAGCACTACTATTTGGAAATTCTCACTATTTGTAAAAGTGTGAAGGTACATAGATATTTGCTCTTCGATTTGTAGTTTTTAAGTGAATTACTTCTAAATTAGTATCAGCGCCATCACAAATTTTAAGAGGATACAAAGCATGGTTTGTAGGTGTTCAGATTGCCGCCTAATCCACAATCTCCTATTTTGAGTTCAGTGATTGGGCTATGGCACATTTCGTAAGGTTGAATTTAGAATGAGGTCACTCATTATCCCTCAGTGATCATCTACTGCTATCTTTATGACGAGCGAGTGTGAACTAAATTCTGAAGTCTTCGTTTTTGCCATGTTAAAATCACCGAATTTTCGAACACTGTCTTTTTCTCTCCTAGTATTGTTCCAGATTCAGTAAGCTGTACTCTGGTCACTCATTCTTATTCACTTTAGTAGTTATTTGTGGATTAACTTATCTTGTATAATGAGCTAGTGTATTTGTCCCAGGTAAGTAGGTTGTATCAAGACACCTGCTATTGCACCAATAAAAAGTCTGGTTAGTGCAATGTAATAAATAATAAACAGCAAATTAGCTGAAGGTGCGATAAGACAGGAGGATTGATTGAAGAAGTGAATAAGTAAACATTGTAAACAGACATAAACGCATAAATAAAAGTAAAATAAAGATGATAATAAACGATCTAAGAATAGACTGACGGTACATTAGAATGCTAACGGTATATCAGTAACGAGATGTGCATCAAGTATAAGTAGTTCAGAAACGAGATAGCAGTCCATCCATGAATTGAGATTTCAACATTTACTCTCAAACCTGTCCACTCAAAAAGGCTTATAATGACGACAACTGCAAATGAGAAAAAGTGATCGCATACCTAAATTTCTGTTCTCTGATTTGAAATAATGATTTAATCGCACCTAGTTATTTGTGTCACGTTGCGGCCGTAGGTTTATCGCAATTTGGTAAGTCCCACATTTTTATCATTTATTTTGTCGTCTATCTCTGTTCTTCTACCGATAAGTATACATTGCTTTTGAGAGTTGTGGAAACAATACGATTCTCTAAGTGAGACCTTGTGTACGTCCTAAATACAGTATTATGTATACTCAACATTCAATTGTGCATTTGCCTTCTGATGTGTTTTCTGTAATCCGATTTTGTTATAAAATGTTTTCCTTTGCTTCCCACCAGGTCACTGAAATATTCCAAATACTCCGTGCTTTTGATTTCTTGAAACTTTTTTCTTCGGCTGAGAGTGAATTAACCTCCACACAGTGTTCAGCTATATACCACTTATAAGCGTCTCACGGCATCATCTACCTCATCATTACTTCTCGGACATTTTGAGTGAAGATTGAAATCCGGTTTCCTGAATCCTCGTTGAGCTTCTTCAAAGGCTAATTATGCGGACAAAATTCCTGGCATGATCACTAACCGGCTACTCTTTTACGTTTAACAATCCAAGCAAATAAATAAATATCCGGCTGCGTATATCCTGTCTTTCTGAACAAAGATTGAAGGGAAGTTTGCCCATTGTAACTGTTTCTACAGTTAGTACTCATTGTCTCTGTGCATCCTTTCTGGATTGTGGCGTGGATGTTGTCATATCCTGTTGACTTCTTTAACTTGAGGGATTTAATTTTTTTGGTCGCTGGCTTAGTAGTTAGGGAAGTGTTCCAGTGGTCTTTAGTTAGTTCTAGAACGGAGGAGTCTCTTACTGTGAAATGTGTGAGCTAACTTTATAGAAAATTGGATATTAAACATTCCTGTCAAAAATGACAGGAATTTTTACAGGTTTGCAAACTTTTGTTGAACTACGAACCCATAGATATATTTTAGATCAGATTCTATCTTTGTCAACTTCATCTGAGAAACTTTTTGTCTGCATCATCCTGCTCGCAATGGTAATAAGTAAGACTGGGCGTTTTCTCTCCTTTTTTATATCATGTAGCTGACCGAATGTTCAGCTGGACTCGATCTTCAGCCGATAGCCTTCAGCTGTCCATGAGACTAACCTGTAGGTATCGCATCTTTCTCAATGAGGCGTGTGGATGGGTTGTTGATGTCACCAGCTGGGATTATCTCGGTGAACCACAGATGCAGTAGTAAATTTATCACTTGATGCATCTATAGTGAGATAAGGAACTATTGTTCTTTGCGAGATTACCAAGTTATATCCCAATAGATCCAGAAGTCGGGTTCTGCAGTAAAAGCGTGGTCTCCATTCCTGAGACCGCTATGAATGAAGCAACCCTGGTCTCTCTGAACCTGAGGTGATTACATCGAGGTCAACATTAGTGCGTGACGTGGGGGCAACTATGTAGTTGTCTCGCAAGTTAATCCGCGGCAGTGTTTTGTCTGCTATGAGGCAGCCTGGTTAAGTAGCGTGTCCTAGAGCAGAGCCGTGATCGTAGGCTGTATATGTGCTGGTAATGCCTCGAGACACAAATACCTTACTATGTCAGAGTCCGCTGTCGTGAGTCCTGCCAAGGATTACAGGCACGTGAGGTGGTGGTTCGGTTTAGCATCACGCAGAAAGTGACGTATTAATAATGTTCTCAAGCGTTCCTCCCTCGATGGGAAGAAATATCTGAGAATCTCCTGTTTCAGACGATCGTAGACGTCAGGCAAAGTAGGACTGAGAACTACCTCACGAACAGCCGCTATGTTGTCTCCAGGGCCTACGCAAATATTTGCCGCTGGTTCGTGATACGGCGGAACCCAAACTGAGATTCCAGTGCCGCGAACCAGACCTCTGGGTCTTGAAGAATAAAAGTGACAGGTCAGAAATTAGGCACCTGAATCCGAGAGTCATCGTCATTTTCGGGTCTATCCACCATCGCAAACGCTATTGCCAATATAATATATGTGAGTAAGTATCGATGTATGTTGTACAACAGTCAAAATAGTAAGAAAAGTGGATAGAAAAATGACAGACTTACCGTATTTGATGCGTGTTTGTTGTCGTCGCTCACCAATTGTTGTGAGATAAATAACTATTGTTGCTTGCGAGATTACCAAGTTATATCCCAAAAGATCCAGAAGTTAGAGAGAAGACTTCTGGATAAAGAGGTGTATTTGTCCGTGGTCTCGTGATAACGAAATAATATCAAGACCGGAATAAGAAAGCGGCGAACAACCAGCGATGAGAGAAGCGGACTGGGGATGACACGCTTGGTGCGCAAGAAACAGTCTTTTGTACAGTTGGACAAAAGGAGTACAATATAACAATTATTGTTAGAATTAAGTACAGTAATCAATATTTCGATTTCAGCAATTGTGTTACCTTCGTAAACGTATACACTACACATCTGCAGTGACCTCACATATATTTGAATTCGCTTACATTTTATTAGGTCAAGCCTTTCGGCTAATTTATTTAACCAGGTCATTTGTATAACAATTACTCATATCTACCATTGACCTTTATTATTGTGTGGTTTGTATGAATTGGTATGACTGAACATTGTGTACACCTGCGCACATATTCATCCTATTCGCTTTAATACTAATCTCTTAAATATCACTATGACTCAGATATCTTCCTTTGTATATATACGAACACTTTTATCTTATCAATACATTCGCTCATTCACTCGCTAGTGTGTCTGCTCGGTCTGCTTGTGGTCTGCTATCCTTTTTGTGGTGTGCCACACTAAACGTATTCAATACTACGAGTTTACCTTCTGATTTATAACCGTCAGACGCCATTTAGTAACGATTGTCTGAACGAGCTAATTACG